ATTAAATTATTTGTAAAATTATTATTATTGCTATTATTATTATTATTATTATTATTATTATTATTATTATTATTATTGTGGTATATATTATGTAGAATTAAATTTTTCATAAATAATTAAAGGAGAAATGTATACTCATAGTCAATAGTGTAATGAATATAATTTGAGATGCACCGGATATTCGAAAAGTACTCAGTATCCGGTATTATCCGGCACATTTTTATTATTCGACTGGATAGTTAGATATCATTAGTATCCGAGAATATATCTGGTTAAAATTTTATATCAACAAATTGTTGATTTTTTATTACACAAATGTTGTATAAATAAGTATGTGTATTCATAATGCTATAATATAATATCTTTTATATTGCTAAAAATTACAATTTTTTTCTCTATAGTTATCATCTTTATTGATAATTAAATTCGGATGATAACATTAAAATAATAATAATTATTATTATTTTTCCCTACTTTTTCTTATGTTTTCCTTATGTTTTTTTAAGATATTGTCTCGAAATTCAGTCGGATATCCGGAAAATATCGGATGCCCAACTCGAAAAATTGTCTTTCTGAATATGCAACCGAATATCCGATTCTTTTTCGATATCCGATAATTTTACGATCCAGTGTATCCTATAATAATGAATAATTACTGAAAATTACATATTAAAATCTATATCAATTGACTCACTTTCAATAATTTCATTAAGATTTCATTAACAATTCAATATAAAATATTAAAATTATAAAAGTTCAATAAATTTCAAAATGAAAATCAATTAACACGATGGATTTAATGAGGATGTATGTTATACATACATCCACTAGTTCAAATCCGTAATCCTTGAGACAATTCCATTTTATTTTGCGAAATTGAATATTTCACAAAATATTATTACTTATATTCATTAACTTTGTTGACATAAAAATACAATCGTGTTTCGTACTAAATACATACAAAAACCATGTACAAAATACAAATGATAATATGCTTCGGCTTCCGTTATAAATCTGGTTTATATAAACATGTACAGAGTGTCTCACAACTATCGTACAATACTTTCATCAGAAAGAAACTTGAGAGAGGACATGAGGGCCTTTCTCCTGTAACCACAAAATGCTCCCGCGCACTACAGTTCTCTGAAGAAGCGAATGTCAACTACACAGCAATATCCACTTCTTGCGACGTCTCTGAAAATAAATCATTAAAATAACAAAAATCTAATTATTGTAATAAAGATTTCAACGATCAGTGATTTATTTTCATCGGTGACAAAAAAGTGAATATTGCTGTGTAGTTGACATGACTTCTTCAGAGGACTGTAGTGCGCGAGGACATTTTGCAGGCATTTTGTTACAAGAAAAAGGTCTTATATCTTCTCTCAGGTTTCTCTCTGTTTTTATATTATAGTCTAAAGATAAAGCAGAGTAAAAAATCTCAATATAAAAATGTTTCCAGATTATAATAAATAGTTTTTGAATTATAATTGATCAAATATAATTTGTATTTCAAATAAACTATTATAACAAATACGATAAAGAAAGCCAAGATCGGTCAAAGTTGGATGTTTCAAATAATATATTATATATTCTTATATTAAATTAACTTATTCCAGATATCCCCCTAAATTAGATTAAAAAGAAAGAAAGAAAGAAAGTAAGAAACTATAATTGCGAAAAATATTATCTCAGCCAAGATTTAGGAGAGATTATTAGCATTTCAGAATGATTGTGTTGAAACCGAAAGTTATCAGCTTGCAATTATATTTGGAATAAATTAATTTAATATAAGAACATATAATGTATTATTTGAAACATCCAACTTTGACCGATCTTGGCTTTCTTTATCGTATTTGATGTACGATCACATATATGATCGTGCTTAAAATTCTACTATTATAATTTTGACATAACTTCGACAACACATACGTATTGTCTATATATATATATATATATATATATCTTTAATCATTTTTTTTTATTTCACAAATAAAAAACGCGATTCTAATGAGAATAAACATTTTTATATAAAATATATAGTAATTATATTTATTTTATATCAATTGCATATTGTGATGTGTAAAAAAAAGTCTATCGAGAACCATGTCATATTCGAACCAGCGATCTTACGGTTATCAATCTGACGCGCTTCCGCTGCGCCACGCGCTGCTTAAAACAATAAAAACTCTACTCCAATTGTAGATAAGTCACACTTTTTAGGTAAGACAAACTTTTTAATCGATTTTTTCACAAACGTTTGAGAAGTGCATTATATCCCTTTACTCAGTACCGCTTGACATGCAGACCTATCGTTATAATTTCATTGCAATCGATTATTATCACGTCGCATTCTCTCCTTGTAAGCAATTAATAGTGCGCAACTCGAGTAGAAATACCAATCTTATTTTCAGAATACAATGTTATCAAGTTATCGATAATTATTGAACATAAAACATTAAATTACTTGCATTTTCTAATAATAGAATATTAATATTATGATTAATAATTAAAAATTATTAAGTGCTTGAATTAATTCTCACTGTTGAC